TGATGATTGGTCACCGATGAACCATCCAGGCTGAATGGTCCACTTGAATATATTTGCCACACCCCTCATATGTCAGTCAATGCTATCCTTCATTCTAATTGGTAGTCTCTTCAGTTGCTCCCTTCGAAGCTGAAAAGCGGGTGGCTGTGGTTCAGGTGGGAAAGCGAGGTGTCGACGTGTCATGAAGGTCGTTGAATCAGTCTCCCGGCTCCACTATCTGTGCATCTTTGCCCCTCAGATGAATCCATCAGAGTGTCTGTGTAAATGTTAGATAAAGTGTTTTGGTGTAGATAAAAGCACTTTTTCAATGTTTGTGTGATTAGGTGAATGAGGCTTGTATTAGAAAGCGCTTTGAATGCTCAAGTTGAGTATAAAGGCGATACGTAAGCACCAGACCATTTACCGAAAGTTTAACTTTGTGTCACCAGCAGTCATTTCGCCTGTATTTGCTAAATGCTTTTGACTTTCTGTCTGTGATGAGACAATCCTCTGTGGATGGAAAGTAAATCATAATGTGTCATATTGAGAGAATAAAAAGTGTGTTGTACAACTCCCCTCAGTCCCTTTCATATGATATATTACTCCATATGGTTTATTGAAATGTTTTTTCCAAGGTCAACTTTGACCTTGGGTGCTAAGAATGAAGGTCAAGGTGAAATGCTTAGCGAACCTTGGTACTTTTCACCCAAGGCCTAGTATACTGTTGTGGTGTTCTCATTTTTAACAGTTGGTGTGACCTTGACCCTAATTTTCACCAAAATTAAATCAGCTCGAGCTGTTATTGGTATCTACCATCACATAAAATTTAAAATTGATATAGTGAAATCCGTGGACGCTTGACTACAACAAACAGAGAAAGAAATATAACTGATTAGGGGTACTGCCACAAGAGGCAGACACAAGCTCTGCACTGCAGTTTAAACTGACGTTATTAAGCGTAACGGCTCCTCTTCTGCAGGTTTGTCACCTGGGAGGGATCCAGCACCTGGTGGACCTCCTGGATCATAAGGTGGCCGAGGTTCAGAAGAGCGCCTGCGGGGCCCTGAGGAACCTGGTGTACGGCAAGGCCACCGACGACAACAAGGTGACGCTGAGGAACTGCGGTGGCGTGCCTGCCCTGCTCCGCCTCTTCCGGAAAACAACTGACAATGAAGTCCGTGAACTGGTCACCGGTACGTCCCAATAGCCTTGACTTGCCAACCTAATCTGCTCATTTACAGCTTCTCCCCTTTTGAGCCAACTTTCTCCTGATTGGCTGCTTCTCATCAAAAACAGAAGGTTTGTATAGCAGGTGGGTGGGGCTTCTCTGCCTGAGACGACCGTATTAGGATTATCCCCTCTCACTGATGTCATACAGAGCCAAGAGTAGAAAAGCTGTGTAAAACTGAGCGTTTAGAGCAACCTGAAGCCTGAACTCACAGGGATTACGTTGAACCTCAATTGTGAAAAAGTGGTGACACTGTTTAAAATGTAAGTAAACAGAGGAAACAATCATTTGTAGATCTCATTAATTAAATGTAATGATTGGTGGGGTTTTTTAATAATGCAAATAATGCTTAAAGCTAAAGTTACTCCCGAACTGTGTTCAAGTGTTTTTCTCAGTGTGATTTGGGAGATTTTTGTAATTTTACTGTGGGGAAAAAAAGGATTTAAATGAAGATGTATTTGTGGTGTTGGGGTTAAATTGTGGAATGATGTTTATGGGCATAAAAATGTGCAATCAAATATATTTTTGAGGGTTACATGTCAGAAAATTGTAGCTCTTTTGTTTGTTAAGGTTATTTTTTTCCTACTTAGAAGGTATGGTACCTTAAATGATAAGAATATAGGCCAGGCATAAAACTAGCAGGTGTCATGTATTAACATTAGAATAAATGGGAACAGTAGGAATGTGTGTGACCCTATTCTTGTCCTTAATGCCTACTACTGCCCAGAAACTACACGGGGTACCTTTAATTATTTATAAAAGCAGAGAAAAATCTAGAAAACTGGATTTAACTAATGAAAACATTAATCATCTGTATGTTTCCAAGCTTTAAATTTTTATATTCACATTCAAATATTCATAATTGATGTCTAGAGACAGTCATTTAAAGTGCAGAGGTTTAAGGGAGTATAGCCGAACATCTCTAAACTGTATTTCTGGATTCTGGTTGATTTCTCCAACTCATAAATCCTGTCGTTCCGATAAGGACTGGTTCTAACCGTCTCTAAACTCAGATGTGCCTTTTTATTCCTGAATGGGTGAAATAAGCTAACACTATGGTCCACATTGACAAAAAAAAGGCTCAGAATAATAGCTTGACACGATAAAGTCTGGTGTGTGTGGGTGTTCGCCTGCCAGCATGGTCCGTTGACTTCCCGGTTGGTTGGCCGGCCGACTGGCCGCCTTGCTGGCTGAGCATCGGTCTGCGGTGCCGTCTGACTGCCTGGCAGTGTTTTAATCTGTGTATTGCCGTTCTGTGGGAGGTGTGAGCGGCAGCGGCTTAAACACTCGGCGCACAGCGCTGAGCAGATCTCGGCACAGTCCTCGGGACAGATGCTAAGATAATGTGCTTTGGAAACAGGACTCTGCAGCCACACCACACATACTGTTTGAAGGCAGCAGATAAGAAGCTGCTAGACACGCTTCACAAACCACAGAGGAGACTCTTCTGTCTGTTGAAATGCTTCAGAAATGTTCTATTTTTAGCTCGGGTTAAATTTGATCTTCCACACCCCAAAACAAATTACACTGAATAACATTCAGGAACAAAGCTGCATATTTAAAAATAAAACACTTGTTTTTACTAAACTCAAAGCTTTTTTTCCATTATTGCTCTTTTATACTTTGTTTATGGAGGATATTTTTATGTGAAGCCTTGGACATGGTTGGCAGTTGTATTCAAATTATATCTTGCATACTATATAAAATTTTTTGCTTCCAAGCAGCAATAACTTTCATGTCATTTTAACCTGCTCTTGAGCAATAGTTCTCTTTCTGAAGGTCTTTTTGGACTTTTGGCTGATTTTTGTTTTTTTTTTCACTCGTTTTCAGTCCTGTTCTTATACCTGACCATTTTCAGAATGTAAGCCATTTAACTTTGACCTGAATCATTGACCTGAATGAATCATTCAAGCATAAAAAAGGCACCTAACACTGAAATGAACCAGTCTTGTATCTACACATAACAGACAACTAAGCAAAGATTTTAAATTGTATCTTGAGGCACTTTGTTACTAGCAGCCTGTCACGAAAGAACATCTCTTGTTCCCATTTCTTTAGTCTATGAAATCTGTGAAAAATTTCAAAGATAACAGTTTGACAGACATAAAATAGTATTTTTGTACCAACAAGGGGATTCCCAAGGACCTATTCACAGAAAGCTTTGCACATCTCAGCTGGTGTACAGTGTCAGTCGTTAAAGAAGGAGCAGGTCTACAAGGCTGTCAAGAAGCAGTTCTTGGCTCAAGCGAGGTATGAAAATTACTGAAAATCAGTGGCAACAGGTCTGATGGAGTGATTAATCTAAATTTTAAATCTTTTGTTCAAATTATTGATCTTATCTCTGCTTTTTGCAGATGATGTGGTTCTTTTAGCTTCATCCTCCACCTCACACTGGAGTGGTTTGTGTGTGAAAAGAGTGGAGTGCCTGCTCTGGGCTGGAAATTAGTTGCCATCAACAAGTGGAAGAGTTCCAGTATCTCAAGGTTTGAGTACAACATTTAACGGAGTCAGTTGAGGTGGTTTTGGCATCTGACTAGGATGCCTCGATGGTGCCTCATAGCTGAGGCAGTTTGTCCAATTGGAAGGAGACCCAGGACTCGCTGGAGAGATTGTACCTTTCGGCTGGTTTGAGAACACCTTGATATTTCCTTGAAAGAGCCGAAGGAGGAGGTTGCCAGGTAGAGGGAGATCTGGAGATCTTACACTGCTGCCACCACAACTAGACCTGGATAGACAGCAATGGATGAATGGACAGCTAACAATAGTTTTAACTTATTTTACTGTGTGTGCATCCACTGCAGGCGTCCTGTGGAACCTCTCCTCGTGCGACGCGGTGAAGATGACCATCATCCGCGATGCTCTGACCACACTGACCAACACAGTCGTCATCCCCCACTCAGGCTGGAGCAGCGTTTCTCACCGCGACGAGCACAAAGTCAAGTTCCAGTCCTCCATGCTGCTTCGCAACACCACCGGCTGCCTGAGGTAAGAAACAAATCAAACAGCCCCCTCAAACACTCAATAAGTCAGGGTGTGTTCATCGCAAAAAGCAGCTTAAGTCGTAAAATGATGATAGAATCGAGGAAAATAACCAATTTTAAATATGGTTGGTATTATGACGTACGAACTTTGTCCGCGTCACATCAACACATTAAACACCTCTTTAGCCGAAACTGTCCTCAAACCACGCAAATCCATCCTCATTTCCACCCTGAAAATAATCGCCTCCTAAGCCTGCTGAGTAACCCGGCTCGCTGTGTGCTCATTCAATTGATTCTGGTTTTGAAATGCAAGGACGACTTTTGGATTTATTGGTTGTCTGTGCTGCTTTTTCTCCCCTCCCCATCTACTTTTCATCTTAACGATTCTGTAAAACCACAGCTCATAATCACGGCTGTATAATCCGTCAATAAGGGGCTCTGCAATGGAGATTTTATGCAGCCGTGAAGTCTTTAAGAAACATTTGACCATATTGGCCTACAGACGCAAATACCAGAGAAAGTGTATCTTCAAACTGAAAGCCCAGGATGAAGGTTGAGATTTATTACCTGCAAATTTTAGCATGC